CGGAGAAGTGGGAGGGGCACCCTAGACATGATAAAATAATATTAATAATAATAAGGAGGGTTTCAAGCAAAAACTGAAATAGAACACGAGTTCAGTCGGAAAGATCATACATCAAGGGTTAAAACTAAAACCTATATTCCAAACAACAACAACGTAGAGCAATCATTTTGGGAGAAAATCAATAAATACATGTTTTGAAGCAAAGGAAATGTGGCAATACGAACGAACTCGGGTAGTACCTATTATAATGTCAGATCTGGGAGTAATTCCACAGTCTTTATTTAAATATCTTAAGGAGTTAGACCTGAAATCCAAAAGCTTCCAGCTCATGCAAAAAGTCAGTAATACTGAATAGTGCCATAGAGTTTGGCGATTTCTCCTCCAGACACAAGAAAGCGACAAAAAAGTCGCTACACCTGGGATGAAAACGATAATAATAATGTTTATTTGCAACATACAGTACGGTAAATAATAAATTGTAGGAAAAAATGTCTCAATGATTGTACAAAAAATAAACTTTCATTAATTTGATTGCTTATACCTCATTTAGTCAAAAATAGTTTCTCTATATTTGATTTTAAACTGGTTTGGATGCAGAATTTTCAAGTCATTGAGAATTTGATTATAAAGTCGATAAACATTGAATGAGAAATATCCACAAAAATACGAGATTTGATGAGGAGGAGGTGATATGTAGCCTCAAACTATTGAATAAATATAGCGGTTGCTTAAAAAACAAAATTTTGTGAAAAGATTACATGCATCCAACTCACGTTGACATCGCATATTTAACCAGTTTGCACAAAAAATCTTGATACATAAACTATTTGAAACTTGCGTAGACCGTAGAGGAATCTTAGGCAAGACACTCTCAATTCTGTCCATGTCAATCTTGCCTAAGTAAAACCCATCACATCACAAAAATTCCACTAGTATTCATCCATTTGTGCGTCACAAAGCAATATTTTGAGTTAAGCATAAGCTTTCCTAATACATTTATTAATATGAGGCTTGAATCTTAGATTTGAGTCAAATTTTCACCAAGCTTTTTATGGCACCAACTGGAAACCATAAATCTAATAGTAACAATAACGTACCATCGGTTCCATTCACCATAGAAGTTATAAATTTCATGTGTTCCATCCCATTCTACCCCTTTCGATACCGATAACGACCATCGAACATCGAACGTCTCAATCCAGTCCATTAGCACCACATTTGAAAAAAAATTTAAAATATATCGCTCGACATTAAAATGTACGCCCATCCAGGCAGTAGAAAAAAAAACAGCGCAATGAATAAAAAGTCTATTGAAAAGGGATCTGGAGCAACCCTTCGATGGGGTTGTTTCCCATAAACGGTCTTGTAACAAATCGAAAATTACCATAACAGAGATCAATACGGCCGATCAGAGCGTTACGAATTCAGAAAAGCAGAGGGGCGTGAGTCCAATACGATTTAAATGTGACTTTGTGTTCATTTTGCATGCAGACGTTAACATGCGAGCGGTTTCAATGCACAAAGTATCAATTACATTCTAGAAAAATAGCAGACATTTTTGAATATGTTTGAATTTCATCCATGAATTATCGATTTAGAGACAGATGTTGCCGAAACTATGAAAGGGTTTTACATATTTTTCTTGTATCTGGCATTGTGCAAAAATTATTTGGAACGAGAATAGAAAATGAGATTCGTTATGCTGATGCCTTGCTATAAAAATATCATTTGGGAATGATATATGCGAAATGCAGCCATACGTTTGCAAAGCAATAGTTGCAAATCTGAATTCACACATGTCACTCCTAGCATCGAAGATGTTGATTAAAAAGTAGGGTAAGTCGATTAAATCCCAAAGTCATGCATTATTATTGATGTATTTTTCAGCTACTCAATTAGAAAAATGGAGCAGACAAATACAGACAAAAATGAAATAAATAGATTTTCCTCAGATTCAAAAACACGTCATTTCTCAGATTTTGAGGCAGGGGGCAGTAAGATACCTAAGCCTCATTTACTTAGGTACCGTATTGCCCCGGACCCTTCATACCGCAAACTACAATATTTTCGTATACCACACGGTTACACCATTAGTTCTGCCAGACTTTTCTAAGGCGTCCGATATGATAAACCATCTCTTAGTTACAAAATATAAATTTTTGGTTTTTCTAATTAATATATGATTCACAAAATCGATCTCCGACGGTAAACATTGAGATGATTTCCTCTTCAAAACGTTTCATTTCTTCTGGAGACCACAAGGGTCTGTACTTGAGCCACTATTCTTAGACTAGACATATATATATATATATATATATATATATGTTGTCTGTATTTTTCGCCGATGATTCACAAATTTATAATTTAAGTTTTAAGTTATAATATACAAACCGCTATATTTGAGGTCAATGATCAGTTAAATCTATTGGTAGAATCATAATCTTCAGTTGAACCCTTGAAAGACAATACTTAGTCATTATTTTTTACCAAAACCATTTGAAAGTAATCCGGAAAGAAACTTCAACACATATTTGAACGGTGACTAAGTGAATCGTCAGAAACCTAGATATCATATTTGATTAATGTTTCAAATCCATATCACATGTGAATAATAGCAAGAATTGTTTTTCCATACTTCGCCAACTTCCCCTAAATAAACAATTTCTAAAACCAAAAAAAAAAAAAAAATTGTGCCAATGCCTAAAGTTAGTTCTACTACTTATCAGCTCTTATTTACGAGACATGAAATGGCTGAGAATAAGCTTTTAATCTCAGCCATTCCTCCATTTTTAAAGGTTGAACTAATACCTACAGTTATTCTCTCTAACGAACTTCCACGACCCATAAAATTGCTAAATCATGAAGAATTTTGAAAGCTCATTGAACTATTCATTTTTGATAAATATACTTGAATTAGTTGTCACTTCACAACTGTAATGCTGTTATAATTTATATTTTATATAGAACTTATTTATAAAACCATTATTAAACTTGATATCATGGAAATATTCTAAGTTTTGTCTTTTGTTGTACTGTTGTCCTATTTTAGGGTTGAGTGGCTGAATATCCATCAATAAAAACGATAATTATTATTGGAATTTTAAAAAGGTTTGAACTAACGGGAAGTATCGAGTAAATCTACTTGACAAATGAATTTAAGGATAATATTAACGTTTACGAATGCAGCATTTGTGAATGACAAAAATCTCTATTATTTTTTTGTCTGGTACTTACTACCATCCTTCTACTAACCATATGTTTGTGTGTAGGTTGTCCACGATTTTTGATGATGTTCTAACGTGATTTAACGTGAAACTGGCTCCATTCATTCTCGATCCTCATTCAAGATAGTAAATTTCGTATGAAATTGGGTAAGAGCGGCCAGGTGCGCCAACAAAGGACCCAATCCTCTAGATAAAAGACTTAACAGGAAGATGCAGGACAAAGATGGAAGTGGAATATTGTTACAGTGACTGCATCTTTCCTTTTAGAAAAGCCTGTGTCAGGTATTTTCAGCCTGCCTCACACGTATTGTATGCCAGACCATGAATTTATTGGAGATAAACAAGGCTTAGTGAAAGAATAACATGTACTGTGTGATGATTATATTGGAATGAAATTTGGAGTGGGCTTGACTATGATAAAGTGGTGACAGTATACATACCGGGATTTGACGATCTTATAACCATTCAGCTTACGTGGGCCACCTTTCAAGTGTTGCTTGAATTTTTTGTTTTTTCGTAAAAGAGCACGGCATATTCTCGAATCCAACAAAACAGCTGATAAACGTTCAGGTATCATAATACGTTTATTTGAAGACAGTTCATAATAATATCTTGGATTGTTAAATCCAACCGAAATATATCGCTTTACACTGCCACTTATGAATAAATAGTTCGTCTATTGCTCTGTTTTTTGGAGTAACGTGAACATCACGGCTCGATTAGCGACAGGCAGTACGGTTTGTGGCCTGGCAGGTCCGTCTGGCAGGCTCAACACGCGGCGGGAGTCAAAAAAGCAAGGTCGAGGTCCGCCTTTCCGTGGGAAAGGGTCCCGAGACTGTCCGTTAGAGAATAACCATCGATCGGTGACAGCTCTCTCTATACACATGATGAATGCAATCTGTCATTTTCATCTAAGTAGTCACGCTGGTGATTATTTTTTAAAAACATAAAAACTTATCTTTTCAAATAAATGTTGAAAAAGTGTACAAGTGTAAGCAAATTTCCCATTCATGTTTCTGTGAACTTGTCTCATATTTTTTCGTCCTGATCCTGCCCTTAAATTTTCCTAAAAACATCGTGTATCACCCTGTCTAAGAAAATAATTGCAGAAATATATATCTAAAATACTGACCGCATTAAGGGTTGTCACTAATACGTGTCAAGAAACGTTTTTGCCTAGATAGGCTCAAAATGTTTGTCTGGCGTTGAACAATAAGGTAAATCGTGAATTGTTGTGATGTCATTTCCACCTCCACCTACACCTACTTACTTGTTTTGCAAAGAAAAATAATTGAAGAGCATACAAAGGACAAAGACAAACAAACGTTTCACCACCACTCGTATTCGATCAAAACCGTGCGAGTCTGCAACAGTACAGTCAAATTGGTTCTGAAATTATCAACTTGCTAGCACTTGGCAAGATGTAGATAAAAGAAATTAAAATGCTTTGGTACTCCTCTTTGTTGACTAAAAGGCTTTAAGTATGGGCTTTGCGCTGTCACTGTGGACACTACGAAGCTTGCAAATGACTGGACCATCTTGTATCTTTGCTTGAACATAACTTTCATCACTAAATTGAAAATCCGTTGTGGTTCATTTTGCACCTGCAGACTTTACCATAGTCTAGTCTGCCAATCTTCAATGTTTCCAAACATTTTCAGGAATCTTCCTGCTAAGCATCTTCATGCTCTCACAAGGAACGATGCTGATTCGAAAGATGGCATCATGGATCCTCTTCTCCACGAACTAGGTCCCTGTATAGCTTGAAACACATACCTCTCTTCCACTGAGGGCTGTGCTACGACACAAAACTTTGATATCCATTATCAATTACACAGCCCCTACAAAATAGTAAAAGTCGAGATCCATATGACAGACTATGATACTCCTATGTATTTTTCAACTTTGAATCCGAATCCGGGATCAAAAAAGTGCCTAGACATCTAGAATTTACCCCAGGAGCCAAAAACTACCCCTAGAAGGCGTGGAAATTGAGTTTCGGATGGCAGATGCTGGAGCACCGTATTCTCATCTAGTTTTCGACGCTGAACCCGAATTTGGGGTCAACGAATTTTTTAAACCTCTGGAATTCACTCGCAGGACCAAAAACTACCCCTAGTGAGGGATGGAAAATAGATTTTCAAATGCCAGGTGCTGTGCTGTGAACTACGAGTAGGTACACGTACTGGAATGAGTTTGTAACTTTAACTGTAACTGTAAATTTTCAGATGTACCTACTAGGGCTCAGCAGAAAGAAATGCATCAGACTGCCGAAATATGCGGCTAACAATACAATTTCCTTATACCGAATGCAGAAGCTTAAATGCCAGGGCACCGCGGCTACCATGAGGACCTTTAAGAAGCTTTGTTAATACGATTTTTGAACTGCCTAAGATTAGTAAAACTGGGAAAACCGGCTCATCTGAATTGTTCTCCAATCTCCATACCCTAGGGGCAAAAGACAGCGAAGTCAGAGGGTCGCGGCCGCGTCATGGAGGGACTCTCTGAGGAGCAAAGCCCGTTGGCGTAGCGGTAGAAGAAAGCTGGATCGCCGACGGCCGGCCGGTGCGAACGGGTCCCGAGACTGCCCGATGGATCAGAGGCATCAATCAGTCGGACAGCATCGAGCATGGATAATTTAGTTAGGGTGGCAGCACCCCAAACATGTGAGCGGTACTTGAAACTCAATTTTAACCCGAGAGGTGGATTTATTACCTTGATTTCCCATTCAGTATTTGGCATCCGGAAGTCAATTTTCCACCCCTGTTTATTGGCAGTTTTTATTCCCGGAGGCAAATTCCAGGGGTGTACAAATTCCGTTGTCCTCAAGTTCAGATTAAGCATTGAAGAATGCATAGGAATACAACTTCTAGGGGTAATTTTTGAGTTCGGTGGTGAATTCTAGGGGTGTAGGGATCTTTACGACAACAAATTCGGATTTAATGTGAAAAAATACATGAGAATATAATGCTCCAGCATCCGAAACTCAATTTGCACCGCTGACGGTGAATTCTTGACGTCTAGGAACTTTTCTGGTCCCGGATTCGTATTCAACATCTAAAAATACATAGGGATATCATGGTCTGTCTCACATATCTCGACCTTTATTTTTTTGTAGTTTTTATTCAGTAGACCTACGTTGACCCTACTCTAAGCCGTATGAAGTTCAGGGGCACACCCTTTCGCTCGTTTACACTCTAATCTCTTTACTAACACATCATCAGCAAGTTATGTAAGGATATGAGAGGGAGTGAATGGTACTCAGGCCGAAATCCCATCGTTTGCCAATCGTAAATAAGGGTGAATCATGCTAGAGATGATGGGATGTCAAAAACAATTCCAAAATTGTCAAAATAATACGCAGTTTGCTGAAGAATGCCTTACTTATTTCTTGTAAAGAAATAGAGAAAGTAGCGTCAAGTAGATTGACTCTATACTTCCCAAACCTTACTTATAGCTTCTGATACACCCTTCCTTCCTTCCTTCCTTTATTCATGCTACGCAATAAATATCAGAATTGCATAAAAGGAATTGGCAGGAGTTGATTCAAAAGTTTCAAATGAGATTGAAACTTGAGTAGGTACGTTCCACAAGTAGGTACACACTATAGAAAATGAACTTAGATTCCATTGGTTTAATAGAAAACGTGTGACCGTTATGTTTAAGAGGTGCGTAATATTGCCGCTATCAGAATAGTACGTTTCCACTAATGCCAGAGATGCAACATTTAAAATTCAGCCATTTCTACTTCCCAAGCATACCGACCGGGGATTATTGGAATGGCGAAAAATTTCGGACTGTCTATAGGTCTGTCTCATGTTCGCTAATCCTTGGCTCAACTGATATTTGGGAAGTACCGCTTAGATCTTCATAACATGAGCCGAGGATGAAAAAGATAATATGTAGTTTTTGGAATGGCAGCGTTGCTAAGGACGAAGAAACAAAAAGAAATCGCTCGAACTTTGTTTTTTCACATTTCAAAGCCTCTCAATCGTATTTAGAAAAAAAAATATGGTTAAAAAATTGGGGATTGGAGGTTGTCAGGGGAGTGGAAGGTACATCTCATTTTTGTTAGTATGTTTGAACGCTCCGAACCTCGATAATTCTAGGTTTCTATTGGAAATTCTTAAGGGTTAACGGAAGTTTGTCGTATCTTGCATCTTTTTATTTAAATCATGTTTTGAATGATCTCAATTATTTACCCATTTACTCTTTTTACAAAGATGTTTGAACTTCTGCACAACAGGCCAGTTAATATCTCTGTTTATGTTCACTACGATTTTGTACCATTACCAGATATAGTTCTAAGTTTTGTTATACCCTCTCCAGACTCACGCGCGAATCACGGCGTGAAATCGCGGCTCGGATCGCGGTGCGAATCCTGAAATTTCTTCCTACAGTTCCACACTCGCAGATGTTCGCGCCTGCTTCACAGTATAGTTCGCGGTCTTGACGAGTATGGATGGTGAAATTGCTACTGCTGCTGCAGTGCTACTTTGCGCTTTGGCATTTTATAATTACGCATATATAAGTAAAACTAGAGCAATTGAAAATAAGTGGAAAAAACACAACCACTCCCGACACTCGCTATGAGGCAACTGAACCACCAGCGAATGTGGAGCCTAGTCATGTTCGCGCCTTGCGAACCCTTTGTCGCGGGACAAAAAACCGACAACAAACGGGAACAACGCGCGAACGCGACGTGAAGCCGCGAAGAATACGCGAATGGGATCCACACTCATGGATCGCGGGTAGTTCGCGGCTTCGCGCGCGAATCGCGCGTGAGTCTGGAGAGGGCATTACACTGCTATACTATACTTGCTTACGCAAGATGGAAGGAAGAATTCATGCTAACCTGAGCCGTTTGTGTTCTCACAATAAATAGTATTACTCTATTTCACACATCATAGATATCCCTGTACATTTGCCCTTAAAACTGAAAATAGAGAAGTACTGTCGATACGCGTCTCTACTTCTGTGTTCACCGGCGGGCGTGAAACTGCTTCTATTACTGCACTGCCGCATCGTGCTATTATATAAAATACCTAAAAAACCTCAACAAAAAAATCGACGAAATGTCATCTTGCAGATTACGTAGTTTTTAGGGTGCAAATACATCATTCCACGTTTGCTTGCTAGGATCGCTGTTCGCTACAAAACGAGTTCACAGTAAGTGTACAACAGCTTGTACTAAGTTAAAGAAGAAAAAAAAATACGAAATGTCACTTTTTAAGATACGTAATACTCGTGCGGTATGCAGGGGAAGCGACGTTGCCAGATGGACGGTAGTAACGCTAGGGCAGGTGAAGAATGTCTCTGGACTATTTCTATCTTCCTAATTGACTGACTTCGGTGGCAAATAGTTGATAAGTCAATTTTTTTACTTAAGACATGTATATGTATTCATTAAAGGGACGGCAATAAGAACAATTGAGTGTATAAGCAGATATACGAAGGAAATGCTATTGAAATTACAAATCAAAATTGAGGCTAGCATTTTTTTTTTGTTGAAAAAGCCTGAAGTTGTATTTGTATCGATATATAAGTCGAATAAATTCAATTATGCCATGATTTCGTCTATTTAATTTCTCCGTAGTAGGTACATATTCGACACTAACTTGTGTCTCAGAACTTGTGCTAAATATAACCATTTATGAACTCATGACGGCATTGCATAGGAAGTTCAGTCAACCTACGTGATGCCATTTTTTTTCATTTTTTTGCACGCATCTCTGCTGCTGGTTCAATTTACAAATCCTACAAAGCGTTTTCGTAGTAGAAAGCTTCTATAAAAAGCTTATCGAGTGACACTATCAGAGAGATTATCGGACAGATTAGACGGACCGTCGGAAATGATTGACATGGTTTTCTTAATTTACATGGCATCATCCAAGACAAGTAATATCTCATTCACGATTTCCACGATGACCACACTTTTTCCCCAAGTACAATATGAAAAAAAGCTATTTCACGAATCCTAATACACGCGCCAGTCCTCATCATATTAGACTGTAAAATCCATTATAGCCTCCTTCCGCATCATAAAAAAATCGAAGGCAGCTTTTGTGAGGTTTATTTGTGGAGTTTTTACAATGCCGCAGAATCGTTAAATCCGAGTATACAAACCATTATCCGTTTTAAAAATACCGAATAACCCCGATCTTATCGTACAAATTATAACAATATCTATAACAAGGGTTCTATAACATTCGGAGTAAAGCTCTCCGAAATCCCGGTGATATTGTGAGCGGTCCAAAAGGGCATTATACGTGTGGAAGTGGGCTTGAAAAATCCGATTTCCTCCCCCGCTTTAAGAATGAGCAGCTCTCCCATTCGGCCTTAGGTGTGGTTCAGACGGGCGTCAGAAACGCTGCATCGATCACCACACTGTTTCTTTTTTTTCTTTAGACACCAGCACTAGCACCAGCTCCCATTAGCCATATGTTGTTTCTTAAACCTGCTATAGTGAAGCATTAGATTCGCAAACATTATCGCAATCATTTCAAACTTTTATCTTGTGTATTCCTTTGGAAGCCGCGTAGGCAGAAGACTAAATACCTTGGCACAGCGAGTGCTATAGGGAGCTCGAAGACACATTGCTAGTCCGATTTCTGAGCTTCCTACTGTCAGTAGAACTGGGCAAAATCTGCTCAGTCAGATTGTTTCAAAATCTCGAAAGACTAGGAACAAAGAAGCGGTTGTATCGACCAGTTCTGGGACTATGAAGTTTGACACGGTTGGATTATCAGGCCGAATAATGACAAATAAAAAAATAGAGAAGAATCGCAATAGATCAAATACGTATACGTACAAGGGAAGAATCT